TCAACACAGGTCAAGCAATCAAAGCAGGAACAAACCAAAATGGCTGCCGCCAAGACTAAGTGTAAAGTAAAACAACATAAATGCAGTTCGGGTAGAAACATGGGGAATTAGTGAAGGTATAGTAAAAACAAAAACCATAGTAAAATACAAATATTAACAATTCAAATGTAATCAAAAACTAACAATGTACAACTAAAGGGATCAATAGGAACTAAGCGCAAGCATGTACATGGAGGGATTTTCACAAACACACAAAACATTCAAAATGGATCTTACACGGGGAAATACCTAACAATGGAGAAGGCGCGAACAATGAATTAAATTGATTAGAGTTGATCGAACGGCATGGCTCGGCCATGCAGGCGTGGTCCATCTGGATGTTATCTTATATCTTCTATTCATATTAAATATATTGTACTTTCTCTAGCCTAACCTTGTTCTAGATCATGTATTGGTAACTGATACGATACAGTGAGTTGGTGTAGTCGAATGTGTGGCTTCCACGTAAGATCTTAAAGATTAGGCAGTCATATCATGACGAATCTACAATTTTGGGATTAGGTCTATAATTAGAGCAGCACTAATGTTATAGTAGACCATAATTCCACAGATACCTGTCTCTACTTGACACGGACTAGCTCCACTGGTCGCAGCTAGTCACTAGTGAGCTCATGGGAATCTCATTAAAAAAATCTTATATTAAGAATTGTACTTTGTGGGATACTTCTCTGTTCATAAGTAGATTTCCGTTTGGAAATTCTACGTTGTGAGTGTTCTTTTGTTTACCAAATTACTGTCCTTCATTATTTATGCGAGGTAACCTTTTTTTAGCTGATAACTGGCGAAACACACCAACAGCTAAAATACAAATTAATCGGCTTTTCAAATAAATAAACGGCAGTCTTACAGAATGAATGAGTTGTAGTGACTCACGTTTATCACGAGAACACGACTGGTTTAATAAAAACAATTATTATTATAACCAACTGTACCAGTGTTTGTTTTAACGTGCTTTTGTTTGACTGTGCTAATGACAGCTATTTTGTGCTTTCATTCTTTTGCTTACACTTCGATTGTAACTTCGCGCGAATTCGGTTACCTTCTGTAACCAAGGTTGTATCCTGGCACGATCTCGGTATCCTTTCGATGCCACGAGATCGCCAGCAAATAAACATCGACTTGGTCCATTAATTGCCTTCTGGTATTCGGCTTCTCGGGGATTTTATGGAGTCATTTGGGACGAGCTTCTTACGCCTTCTGATCTATTTGGCACGTGTTTCTTGGTAGCGGTGTTCACAGTTAATCTCAACTCGACGCCACGCTACAATTGGTAATCCCAATTCGCTACAATTGGTGACCCGTATTTTGGAACACGCCTCAACTTCTGATCAAATCTTCCAAAGAAGCCAATTCGGTGAGTCTATGATTTATCTATCCACGTCTGTCGTATATTTTCATATTTTTTAATATATAGTATACGCGACATGACGGATAACGATAAGAATAGTATTAATATAATAGACTCACACGTATGTGTACCGAATCCTTGTCACTTTTTATTCGCGTGATGATGAATTCCACGCTTTATTCGAGAAATGTTACCCTATTAACGATTCTCCTCGCTGACCCGGCTGCTTGGTACGGAATGCATACGCATAAGCATATCCGTCTACCACCCAGCACCAAATGGTTAAGTTGAACGGTTTCACTGCCAACTTAAAAGTGTTCTACGAGCACACGAAAACGGCAACTGGCACGAAACCTTACCGCTCGTTCTTTTAGGGGTGAGAACGAGCTTAAAGGCAGATATCCAATGTTCCGCCACTGAACTTGTATACGGCACGACATTGCGTCTGCCCGGAGAATTCACACCACGGAGCATACCTAATTTCGGTAAATCAGACTACGTCCATCGACTGTCTGCATTTATGCGAACGCTGTCTCCGGTGTCAACTCGAATACAACATCGACAGGTCGCTCTCCCTCGAGAGTTATCTACCTGTTCACATGTTTTTGTACGAGTAGATTCGGTACGCAAACCTTGGCAACAACCTTACGAAGGCCCTTTTCACGTGATCGCTCGTCACGAAAAGACCTTCAAGGTTGATCGACACGGCCGCGTCGAGATCGTCAGCATTGATCGTCTCAAACCAGCACACGTCGATGACAGTGCCCAATCTGACAACCTGAGATTCAATGCTAGACCTAGCAAACCTACTAGCGGGATCCTCAAATCTACAGGTCCCACGCTAGATACATCTGAGACCTCATTCTCACGTCCTGGTCAACAGCACGCGTCATCTGCACCGTCTACGGACGAGACAACAGTCTCACGTCCAGATCAGCAGACCACGCCGCCTCTGACCTCGGATGAGATTGCAGGCTCACGCGACGCGAACGAGACTGCCGTCTCACGTTCCGGTCGCCGAGTACGGTTACCCGTACGCTTCCTCGACTAGTCGCACAGTCGACAACCGATACGGTGTAGGAATATTCCTATGCTACTTGTATGCTACACTCTTCTTTTTTGATTTTCTTTTTGTTTCCTGAGCCCACGCCTTCGACCATCTCCGTTTGGTTCCGTCGACTTCAGTCAACTTTGGCGAAAGCTGGATTGGCCACCCACGCTCTTGTCAACGTACTCAGTCGATATATTGGTTTCGAATGCTTGGCACACGCTTGGTCTCGAACTTGGTCGTTATGGTCGCTTCTGGTCTTTTGGCTCAACGTGGTTTCGTCCTACGTCTGCAGCGTTTCTGGTGCGCACCCGTACGAACGCCCTCTTCAGATTCTGGATACAAACCACTCTCGTGTAGCAGGCCAATTCAAGCAACAAATACAGCACATCGCTCCTGGTACCGTTCTCCGAAAACGACCTTCGTTGGCAACTCGACGATCAACGATCGCTTTCCTGTTCGCCAATTCTTCCGTCCTACAATCGCTCGTCAGCCGATCAGTCCCACGATTCAAACCGCTATTTATCGAAAGTGTAAACCCTTTCTAGCGGGGGGCTCCTGTAGTGACTCACGTTTATCACGAGAACACGACTGGTTTAATAAAAACAATTATTATTATAACCAACTGTACCAGTGTTTGTTTTAACGTGCTTTTGTTTGACTGTGCTAATGACAGCTATTTTGTGCTTTCATTCTTTTGCTTACACTTCGATTGTAACTTCGCGCGAATTCGGTTACCTTCTGTAACCAAGGTTGTATCCTGGCACGATCTCGGTATCCTTTCGATGCCACGAGATCGCCAGCAAATAAACATCGACTTGGTCCATTAATTGCCTTCTGGTATTCGGCTTCTCGGGGATTTTATGGAGTCATTTGGGACGAGCTTCTTACGCCTTCTGATCTATTTGGCACGTGTTTCTTGGTAGCGGTGTTCACAGTTAATCCCAACTCTTCTACAGAGTAATGATGTTACGTCGGTACAAATTTGGGTAATGTACAATTGCTACAGATCTGTATTTTGCTTCACTTAGTATTGTCAGTGTTATCGTTACAATAATAAAATACTAGTATTGTAAGTAGACTGAGAAACTGTATAAAAGTTGTGATAATAAAACTAAATTTAGCAATGGATAGCTTATATGAAAGGAGTAAAATGAACTTAATGTTGATGGTCATTATGGTTATTCTTGTAATTAGACTATTCTCGTATATAAATTACAAAACAGTTATGCAACCATGAACTCACAACCTATATAATGACATGTAGGCGATCATCTCTGCATTCTAGGCTGAAAACTGGATGATTGACTCGGTGCCTTCAGGATAAAAGACATGAACTAATTTCAGACGGTTACATTATTGGGTTACTCAACCATTCATAACCTGGCCAGTCCCAAAGAAGAAGAAGAAGATTAATTCTTAGATAAACTCACAAAAACAGAATAATAAGTGTTATAAAGTTTTCGTCAGCTTTGACACAGCACGAACTATGAAACACTACAGGTCAGTAAGAAATAAGTGTATGATTAAATCCCGGGAAGTTAAGAGAAAACATGAGATGCACTCGTCACAAACTGTAACCCAGCAACCCAAAGAGACTACTCTCGTACATGAATTACAGAACAAGGATGCAGCACTAGATATACAATCTAAATAATGACAGAGCAATCTGAAATGATAGAGGATGATTAGAAAATAGCACAGGCTTTTGCAAACTATTTTGGTGCAGTTTTCACTCAAGAGCCCTTTTAAAAGAAGACCTAGACAAAAATACGAAGTCAACAAACCGCCTGCTCTCTGTAGACCTCGCTGGAGACGACGTATTAAAGACCCTTGGTATTTTACTCACGGAAAAGTCAACAACCTCGAATGAACTACACCCCAAAATCCTGAGACAAATTGTAGCCCTACTAACTTTGATATTCAATATGTAACTTGACCATGATGTTTCACCTACGGACTGGAAGGATGCATTCATCACTCCAATACATAAAACAGGACCAAAGCAACTCCATCAAACTGCAGACCTGTCAACCTCATCATTGTTGTAGTTAAAATACTGAAAAGAATAGTCAAAAGACCATTTATCTGGCACAACAAACCACCTTATAGTAAGGGAGGAATAAACAGAGGCGTTAGGCAGTTGAAAATCAGTGAATGTTGTTTGCTTAGGCTCGAGCGAAGCATCTGATAAGGTGCAAAAAATGGACGACTCGTGTAAATGGGAACATAATAATTGATTTTTGAGCATTAACAAACACTTTTGGACTGGATGTATCCTCTCTTTTTCTGTCCACTAAATCGGGACATCTCAATGGACATAGCAGGTGAGTAGAAAATCGAAGAACGGACAAAATATCCGCAACATACTGATTTTCACACCGGTTCGTCAATTCTTTGAACCAGTTACACAAAACAGTGGTGTCCTCGACTTCAGTTGCTTCATTCAAGAGAATACCAAACATTCACAGAAGCAAACTAAAAGAGGAATAACACAGGCCGTAGGCCCACTGTGCTCAATACACATATGTGGATCTAATGATTGGACTTCTCAATTGGATATTTAATTACTTTGTTACCTTCTGTTTGAATTGAAGGTCGGGTAATCGTGTCATTTCTAGAGTAAGTTCTTAAGGGATTCATAGACATTTTTATTTTAATGAACACAACAGCATTAACTTGTTGACTTTCAGTTTGTGAAATATCAAGCAAACATGCATATATTTCTTATTACTCTTGGAGTGAGCACAACTTGTGAAAATACTTTGTCCTAGAATGAAAATAATACGTTAAAAGTCACATTAAAATGATCTACACCATCGTATGTTATCAGTGCTTTTAGATATCTAACAAGACTTCTGGGTATTTTGCGACTCGTCCTACGCTATCACAGGTTGACATTTACGTTTATATTCGTATAACTCTAAACAGTACCTTAAAATTAGCGATTGTTGTGTTAAACAATGAGTCACATACAATGTATTATTCTGGCATCTTTGCGCTGCTAACCTCCATCATCAAAGTGATTTTTGGTGTCAACTGGCGGAAAACTGGTGCTTGTTTGTTGTGGTTTGTTTAATATGATGCTGATTTTCACCGGTCTGAAGTGCTTTAGCTTTGACTGTGCGCTTTATAGATAGTATCAACAAACCAAATATTACACATTTGTCTTTGAGTTATGACTTTTGAGTGAAAGTTAATATTACCTGGCTGCTATAATCTAATTACCTGAACCAGATATCCATTCAAAAAGGTAACAAAAACACAATAGTAGGTGTCGTTGTATAAAATGTGGGTGTATGACTGAGGTTTTTTGGTAGATGACACCCTATTGGTCACTAAAAGCCCCATCACGGTTCATAATAAAAGCCAGTAGTAAGTTTTCTGTAGTTTTTCTACTGTACTATTTATATGTGTATTTTAAACCTTGTTAACCGGAATGGACTTATCCCAGTCGTATTTTTTAAAACTCGCTTCCTTTTTATTTTACACCCTACTCTTCCATTTACTAGTCATACAATCTCGTACTCCTATTTCTTTGCAACAATAGCATACTACTTTCTTGTTGCATATCCTCTTTATGCCTTTTTTAAAACCTAGTTTGCACGTTATGTATACGTAAATGCAAGTTTGTGGGAGATAGATGGAGTCTATACTGCTTACTCAATGTTTCTAAATCAGTTGCAAAATAATTCATCTGCTGCAGTACCCAGTGATCACCAAAGACCTAAATGTTCTGAATAAAAAATAATCATTATAAAATCACATGTAAGGTGAATGCCACGTAGTCAGCCAGCACTGAAGTAAAATCCACCAAGATTTAAGACCATGTATCTCAAAACTGGAGTTTTCGATATTCATTAGCTTAAAGTTTTCGAATTACTGATATTACTTAACGTTGTCTTAACAACGAAATACTTAAATAATTTTTGCTATTTCATTGTGGACGTTTTCAAAAGTGGAAAATTTAAAAGGAATTAAAATAGAGCAAGAACAAACACTGATACAGAATAGTATGAATTCATAATATTTCGAGGTTAAGTTATCTTAACTTTTCAACTTCTATTTAATTATCATTACGTGACCTATCTTATCATTATTCAATTCCATTAATCACCAAAATTATCACACAATTTATGAACTTCACTAAACCATTACAACACCCTCCCAAAATTAATCCCATTTTTTTAACCTCTGACCTGTTCTAGCATATATATATATATATATATATATATATATATATATATATAGTTGTTATTGTAATCCAGTTATTTACACACATTTATGTCACTTGCTTCACACTATTTCAATGTAAAAATTTTATCACATTTTTGGTTGTAAGCAGCTGATGAGAAACCTCGAAATATTATGAATTCATACTATTCTGCATCAATGTTTGTTCTTGCTCTATTTAAATTCATAGAGGGAACCAATTGCATGAAATTTCTAAAAAGAATTATTCTTTAATCTGAAAAATGTTGTTTGACATCACCCTGATAGACCTGGCTGCGAATTATAAAGACCAAAATCAGCACATCATTTCCACATGAAATTTTGTAAATCTGTAATTATATTTACAGGATCAGAATTTTTGATGGATAAAATAATGATCACATTAAATAAATTCGTATTCGAATCTCAGTTTTAGTGTAATGTATATGTTTGCAATTCTGAGATGGTTTCATTTTTTAACATTTACTTTACCCCACGCTTTCTACTTCAGGGTGTACATCTAGTATTTTATTGGCAACATTGAATCGATCTTCCTAAACCAATGTTTATAATATTCTTCTCCCTCCTATTTTTTGACTGTGTTCGTGGGGAAGTAGTATGGGCCGTTAATTGTGGTGGCCCTAAACACATCGATTCACATGGAGTCGAATATAAAGCTGATTTCTTAGACATGGGTACTGCATCGGACTACGGCCGCTCGTTCGCAATAAACCGTGTCCCCTCAGCAGATCATATAATCTATCAAACTGAACGGTATCACAACGAAGACTTTTCTTATCCTATTCCGATAACATCTGATGGAGAATACATTCTTACGTTAAAATTTTCTGAGGTTTGGTTTACTGAGCGTTATCAAAAAGTGAGTTAAATAATTTATGTATTTTCTCACTGGACAGTGAAGCCAGTTTCTTCGGTTTATTTTATTGCCAATATCTCATAAAGTTTTTGTTTCAATGTCAGTGCCACAGCTAAGCACCTTTAAATAATTTTGTGTATTGAATTTAGCTTAGTTTGTTTCTTATTTTGCATGAAATGAATAGCCGAGGTAGTCACCGATATTATTGCTAGTAAAAGTTTGAATTATCATGCTATTGATATTCAAAAACGGAATTTTGGTTAGTCTTTCTTGTCGCGTGTGGATCTCGTGCACATTACTTCAATATAGCCACTCTGTGTAAAAGACTGTCGCGCGTTCTGGAATACATGTTTAAACTCTCATCATGCTCTAATACGATCACGCATTCGATTGTGCCGACGCAGAAAAGTAATATTAGGAAGACTTATTAGTATTGAACTCAGCGACAAGAAAGTTAACGGTAAATTTAATGAACAACTGAAGTCAAATTTAGGCAATTTTAAAACGAAGCTAACCTAGATGTTGTTTAGAAAGATATACGAACAGTTGTAGAAACAGCAGCGACATCTACTGTTGATTTGAATCAAAGGGTTACCAAAAACCAGTAGATCTCTGCTACATCTATTGCACTAATAGACTCTCGTAAACTTATTCCATTAGGATCCGAACACGATGACGAGCGAAAACAAATCAGATCTAGGTTGACCAAAAGTCTACAAAATGATCGTGACCAGTGGTGGGGAACGACAGCAAAATAGGTGAAAAAGGCAAAGGCTGTAGATAACACGACAGCCTTTCAGATTAATAAAAAAAATCGGAATTAACGAGTCAAGTGTGATAAAATCTCGGAAAATTACGACGCTTGTCTGCTCTCAATCGAGACGTTTAGAACGATGGGCGGAACACTTTAAAAAGCAGTTCAGCTGGTCTTCAGTTAATCTACAACTATCCACAGCCTGAATGGAAGATTAAAGTAGGTCCCTCAATTCTAACTGAAGTTCAAAGGCTATAGCTAATCTGAAACGAGGAAGAGCATCTGGTCCAGATGGATTGGCTCCAGAGGTCTTTAAGAATGGTGTACCAATTTTAGCGATTAGGTTGACTAATATGTTAGCTAAGATCTGGGAGTTAGAAGTTATTCCATCTGACTGGTCACAATCACTTATCGTCCCAATATATAAGAGAGGGTCAAAATCATCCTGTGACAACCATAGAGGGATTAGTTCGACTAATATAGTATCTAAAATACTAGCCTCGATAATTATCAGACGCCTAATTAAGACTAGTGAACTGCAGACACTAGAGAATCAAGCTGGCTTCAGACCTGGTCATGGCTGCACCCCACATATATTCACCATTCGTCAGGTTCTAGAGCACAGGCATACTTATCGGCGTCCGACAATGGTGGCCTTTCTTGACTTAAAAGCAGCACTTGACTGTAGATCGAGAAGTTTTGTGGCAGTGTCTGTCATTGAAAGGCGTACCTCAGAAGTACATAAACCTATGTCGAAGGCGAGATATCCGTCTACCAATAAAAAGACGAGTATACTGCGCGGCAGTCCGTTCTGTTTTAATTTACGGTAGCGAAATAATTTAGCGTTGAAAGTCGATATAGGAGGAATAATAGGAATTGAAGAGGAAGGTTGATTGTGAATACAGTGGGCCTGACAGCTGTTAGAGGTATGAGGGTGGTTATCACCTCCCGGTTACCCAAACCATGGAAGGGTTCTTCTGGAGGTACCTGAAAAGGAAATTGGATTAGAGGTGGTCTTAGTGACCTAGGAGCGTGATCGCAGTGCCCAAGGGACAACTGCTTGAGGTCGGTCACACAACCTTTTTATGGGTAATTTTTGTGTTAGCTCCGTACTTGTTGAGACCTTACCGCCGGAGACGGATATCCGTGGGGTAAGGCGAGGTGTGCATTTTTAGGGTCGACCTTTTCTAACCCCACCCCTCCTTTTGGGAAGGCAGCATCGCTGTCATGCTGGTTGTCTGAAGGAAACACCTTACTGCTGTCACACCTCTGTATAGTCAGCAGTACGACTTCGCCTTCGGACTTTGGGTTTGTTGCTTTCAGTCTTATCGCTCTTCAACCGATCTGTCTGACATGGTAGGACCTTGAGGAACGGTTGTTCCAGCCGGTATAGCTCGGTTGCTTCATCACGATAGGCAAGCGCGAGCATCACGTCAAGGTAGCAACAACGGTCGGGAATTTATTGCCTAGGAAAGTTTATTTATTAGCTTACGGACTATAGGTATTCTGGAGTTCTAGTTTAATTGCTCAAACATTCAGTTTTCAACTATGCTTCAATTAACAGAGGTATTGGTCATGAGATTTTACCTAAGGTTACATTTTTAGTGACAATCCAAATCAATCAGGGTGTATATGTCTAAGCTAGACTTCTTGCTCGTCAATTCTATTATTGCTTCCTTTTTATGCAGACATGCGTTTTTCTTATCTTATTCATATGCAGATAAATAGGTTCAAAAATTTTTCCTAAACACACACAACAGTTTAAATCATGTCTGTACAGTATTTTCTTTTTTCGAAAAATGAAGACGTTAACAGTTGATAATAAGTGCATTGTGTTACCTATCGATTTCTTCTGTACTTAAGTACTTAAACCTGGTTCATTTATATTTTTGTACCAAGACAGTATGCCTTTCAGTTAAAATCATTCCGTGATTAAAATTCACATACTGATATACATTAATTACAGAGGTTAGTATTAAACTATACTAACGGTACTAATTATTACCGGTTGATAATAAGAAAGGAGTTAATACAGAAATCACTATATAAATATGAGTCGCAATGAAAATAACAAGCTAAGTTCTGTGCTACAAAATAGCGTCTGTAAAATATGTAGTGTAGTAACTTAATACAGTATAAGTTAGTTGATAAATGGCCGTCGCATGCACTACGAAATTTAGGTCAAAGATAGAATTTTTGTGTATATTGAATCATTAGTTTGAATTAAAAAATTAAAAAAACTCACTTTCTGGATATTTCATAACTATTTATTTCCTATAATTAATTCCAGCAAACGTTTGCTAGTATTTAATCAGTCATTTCCCCCGAAGGAAATGCTCTTACATCGGCATGTGTATACAGACACTGTCAGGGGAGACATATTCATTGCCTTCTCTCGGCCTGGGTGTTGTTTACGAAATGTAGGGGAGTTGCAAGACTCTGATTCTGAACCAATAGTTCACATGTGCTTCAGGTTCCTGAGCGAACAAATGATATATGAACCTATTGTTGGTCACCGGCTACTATGGGACTGCATCTCCTAAAGTTGTTCCACTGCCTTGTGGATTAGACTTCTAGTTCAAAGGCTCGGGGGGTGGCCTCCTAAGAAAAATACCGGTCTCGGTTTGGATCCCCGGGAAGTATTCCAGCACAGCGCATATATATTCGGTGCCTCCTTGTATAAATGTTTATACGTTTAAGTAGATAAATAATAAATCAATCATTACTGAATCCCTATCATGTTTTTTATATCACCCCAGGTATTCGATGTTCATATTCAAAATTCACTCCCACTTGTTCAAAACTTGGATATTTTCGGTCAAGTTGGCTTTGCTACTGCGTTCGATTTAAATGTGCCACTTAAAATAAAAGATGGAGTAATATATATTGGTGAACATACAGTCAATATCGATGACGATCATTTTACTGTGGACTTTATTAAAGTAACCTAAAATTGATAATATTCTATTTATTTTTTTCGTTAAGACTCAATTTGATAATCCGAAAATCAATGCTATTGTTGTTACTAAAGGCTCAATAGAAGGTAATCTTTTCTTATGTATACTGTTTTGTTATAGTTTAGAATCAATAGTTATTTTACTCAATTATCTCTCAGTATTATCTTTGCTAGTTCCGTTGCTATACTTTCAGTATATATATATATTATGGATTTCGATTTCACGAAAACATTTTTGGTTACTTCCTTGTCTAACATCAGCACTAAATAGGCGCAAGCTATGTTTTGCCTAAAAGTCACATTTTTAGGCTCTTTGAACTAACCAAATAATACACACATCCTAACATATTTAGTAGTTTAAACAATTCACCAACAAACACAAAAATTGTAATCGGCATTAATTAGTTCTGGTTACTCGTAACGTTAATGTCATACCCATGCTGTATAAAATTATTATCAGCTAAATACGCATCGACGCTGTTAAATGTTTTCAAAATAGTGATTCAACCTGACTTGGTCATTCGGCTGATAAAATCGATTTGAGTTTTCAGATGTTGATTGAAAGAGACAAATCAGTTTTTAATCCGATCGACGTGGACCAGTTGAAATACCTAAACAAAGTTTCGTAATTATGTGCCAAACATTTATAAATGATATCAATACTGGTTGTCTTATTATTGTTAATTTTCATAAAGATTCTGTATAACTATTTAAGATCTTGGAATTAGGTCATGGAGCTTAATCGTTTGTGTACTTTATTAAAGTGGGGATTATCATAACCCTTGAAAAACAGTTTCGTTCAATGGCTGTTTACAAAGAAACCGGTGAGGTCCTACAATGACTGAAGCTCATTACTGAGTGCTTAAAATGTTTTTATTCAGGGTATCAATTTTCACATCTTATCTTAGATGTCAATCTAGACAAATTTACTTTCGTCTCTTTAACCTTCGTTGAATGAATGAATTTCATGGGTTTAGGGATTTCATTGGATAGTTTTTAAGCTGTAAAAACAATTTCAGAGGTACCGCTTTTAGTGTCTATTGTAGTTATGTCCAAATACTAATAGGGTTTGATGTATGCATACGGTTTGTTTATTGAATTAATGTATAAGCGTGTGATTGTTCTCTAATATAGTATTATTTTTTATAGACAATTTTTCCAAAAAGAAGTTATCAACACTCATCACTTTGTGATAAGTGTAGAGTTATGCATTTGTTCACTTGTCCTTTATCATCTCATGATTTATATGGAGATGTTGAGAAACCATGATTCCAAGATGGTTTTTGATGGTGAATTAAGAGATCTCGCTTAACTTGAATACTCTCAAGACTTACTTTATGCGACACGATACTTAGATCATTGTGTCGGAATCGTATGGTTGTTCTTTTCAACTCCAGTTGATTCGTTACCTGATTTTCAGTGTGTTTTCCGGATGAAGTAAATTATCAGCTAACTAGTGTTTATACGCTTCTGTTCCTAGTATGGATTTAATATGTCGTAAATCATTTTAAGTATCTTTCCATTATCTAGATGTCCCTCAATTACCACCGTTAGAAGAAGTAGAAACATTTGATCAACAGGTGTTACATCCCCATAAGTTATCTGATTCTGATGATGAAGAAGAAGAAGACCTGGAATCTGTGCAACAGAGACCATCTAGAACACCAAGAGCAAAAGATCCTTATGCTTCTGTGGACTATTCCTATTTAATCTTACCTATTATAGTATCGGTTGGAGCATTTCTACCAATTCTCTTTTGTTTATGTAAACTTTAAAGAAAAATACAATAGGTAGTTTCTGTTAGTATTATTGGTGATGTCTTTATTATTGTTGTTTTGTTTTTGTGTAATTTCTATAGGTTATTCACATCTTTTGTAAGGTATATGCACTTGCTTTATTTTGTCTTTCTCGAAGCTAAAATGTTTATTCTATGAACTGTACATTGTTTGACAAAATTCACATATCATTAATGTTACTGTATAATAGTATACTTATTCTTAAGTGTTTTTTAAATATGTGATTCTTCAGATAGGTTTACTGCTTATTTCTGTTGTATTTTGTTTGCTGTTTTAGTCATTAGAGTTAATAAAGAGGGTTGTAAGTAATTAATGGATATATGAGGTTATGTAGTAAGTGAAATCATTCTACAAGGATTCACTTCCACAATAAAAAAAGTCATATTAACAATAACTGTAAACATAATCTAATACTTCTGTATTGTTGGTTGTATTATATGAGTGATTTATTTCAACTTGTAATAAATTGTCATTGAAACTGTTATTATCTTTTCAGTATCCATTGAAATAATTCAACTGGCATTATACTCCTAGTATGCATCTCCAGGGTATTATATTTCAGGATTTTGAAGATGTTTGCTATTGAGATTATTAGTGACCTTGTTCATTATTCATTCTTTGTAGGATATGTACGGATGACTTAAAAAAGATTTTTATTATCAGTAAATATTCTCAAACAGATGAGTTATTTTTTAATTGATTTATAGATTTCCTGAGGTTGTAAATACTATTTGACAGCTTAATTCTGTAGGTCAGTGAAACCCAATGGAAATTATAAAGTATTACATATTTCGTTTTCAAAAGTAGCCTTACACTAAACGACATCTTTGGGTAAACAAAAATAAAATAGTGTTAGAAGAGGTTTTGTGGCGATTTTAGTAATTTCAATAGTTGAAATCCTAAGTCTATTGAAGCTAGTTGCTGCCTTTTGTCCACCTGGCTTCAGTATCTCATTATCGCTCATTTCTAGCATAACTAACTATTTAGATATTTCGAAAAGTATTATAAATGTGATAAGATCGGACACCACTTCGAAAGGTAATATTCATATTCAAAAGCGATCATATACATCCCTTGATTCGATTCATGACTTGATTGGGGATACATGTAGTATAGAGTCCATTATTTCATCCAGAAACTTAAAATCTTTATATCCTAACGTTGTGGTAAGACTCACTTAAGTCGCAATATTGGGGATTACTGGACACAGTCTATCCATACGAAGATGCTGTGAATTGCTAATAAGAGATGCTAATTCTTTATACATGTGTAGAATCCGAACTGAGGTTTGAACTGAAGAACAACTGTCCAAGTCGTTTAGATACGCGCTATTGTCCAGTTGAGACCAAAACAAGATGATTGGGTAAATGACAGTTCACCCAGTTATTCAACCTATAGTTGTTCAATTAGTGATCAAATCAAGCGCAACAAATGAATGTTATTCTATCCCTTCTGGATAGATCACGTACAGATTCGTTCAAAAATAATATTTGGTTGCTTTATAACACAGAGTGTTTCAATTCACAATCAAAAATGCACAGTTCTAGTCAATGCAAGCAACACAATCAAAGGGGGAACAAACCAATATGGCTGCCATCTAAACTAAGTATCAACTAAAACAATATGGATGCAGTTCAGGGATAAACGTGGAAACTCAGTGACGGCGTAGTGAAACTATAAACAAACTGACCTGTAATTGTTGGGAACTTAGTTGAAAGGAAATATTCTTTTTCTCTATTTGTTCACTTGTTTAACTCAACGATCATTATACTTTTGGTAATGACTGCCAAAGAAATCCAGAATACACATTTTACTCACTTTGGTACTCATGAAGTATAGTTTAGTTAAACTCTACGGAATTCAGGTGTCTTTATAAGAACTCCAACTCACTTAAGCTCGATAGCTTTTTTGTCATGAAAAAATGTATGGCAGGCATGGATCGTAAAATTAAGTTTATTATGTGCTAGTTGTAAAGTATTACCATCAAATTGTCAAGAATCCATAGAAGTATGTGATTGATACTTCGAGGTTACTCACTTCATGAGACCTCAATTTCTCCGTGAGACTTGTGAATGTGAACACAGAACTCGATGAAGAACTGCCATGTCTATGATAAATTAGTTTGTTAAGTGGTTCTGATCGTTAGCTTCACTCTTTACAAAGTGCACCTATATTAGCCGTGTTGTGCACTGCTGAACTCAGTTTGCTAGTATGCATCAGGAATATTTGAGGTTATTCCATATACTTCCTTCATATATTGAACTCTTCTTCACTGTATTTGGTTGCTCGTTTTGAACGTTTGAAGTAAACGCATATGTATCTCATGTCTGTGATCGTTTTTTAAACGCATATTTAATTGTGATTAGACCCAAGTATCATTTGTGAATAAGAAGTTTAACGCTTATTCATAATAATCATATTGAAAGTGGTATTGACATTCAACTAATTCAACAAGTTCATTTCAAATTCTTTTGTATTACGTCCAATAAATAATAATCTCACTATCAAGGTAATCAACTCGTTGAATCCAAATTATGTATGTATGTCTTGTTAAACATAACGATGCAAGACTAAAATTTCATTTATTTACTGTTGAGAATTGGCATAACGCAATAATTCAATAGACCTGTGTTAAATGGATTATTCACTCTCGATTTTCAACTGAATAGTTTTTAGATCCAAACTAATTTTCAAAGTGATTATGACCATACTTCTTTAATAGATTACATATCCTTCAAAATTAAGAACCACAAAACGGTCAGTCAGAATGCAATCCTGCCCCTCACACTAAAAACAATGTAAAATAGGGTCAACATTATTTGTTGTTGAGAATAGGAGTATTGATCCACATTTAGTAGGCGGGTCTACTAAGCAAACAACATTATATCGGCTTGTAATATAATGCAGTATTTTAAACCGTCAACGTATTTAGGTTACTCGATTTCAAGGACTTCACACCACTGCAGAGTTTTAGTCAATTATCAATTTTGGGGATTTGTGGAAATTGTAGTGTTTTCAAAGTTGAATTCACGAGTCAATTTAAGCCAGACCATGTTTTAATCTATTGTGTAAATATTAATTCAATCAGAGATTTTCAATAATAAAAAGAAGTAAAAATTGCTTTTTTGCCATCGATTTGTATAATTCAGTTGTATAAACTTTTATATCTGTTGCCGTATGTCTCAACTTGTCGTCAATCACATAAGTATGAGTTAATACGCTTGTTATAGTCACGGTTATCTAATTCGAATAAGTTAATTCCTTGTTGACTGCATTCATTATAAATTCCAATATTAATAATCTTATATTTAATTTGCTATACTTTCTGTTTATTTATCTTTCAAGAAACCATAATATGTTTGTTATGTCCCGACAAGAATAATGAATGGCAACTTTTGGGATCTATTGATGGACCAATAATAAACGTATATTTCTATTGTATAATTATTAAGTAACTAAACAATGCATATTCATATTCCTCATATTATAAGCTTTATTTTGACTCAAAATCTTATTATACGTTTTACCATTCTTGAGTTATACCCAGTATATTAATTACTACCTCCCTCATTCACAGCCACATCTGGCGAGTTCTTGTACAAATGTTGTTTCATATTTTATTGGTACGTTGTGGTGTGTTTGATTGGTATATAAACTCAGTATGTTTGAATTATAATCATTCATATTGCAGAGGCTGAGACTGGTGTTCTGGAATTAACTGTCTGGGCTAGGCGGAAAGCAGGGTCAATCAGAACTCTAGGCTGCTCATACGGGTTTCCGCGTCATTGGTCCGATCGATAAGTCACTGCCGTCAATCGGCGGTCACTAGTTATAACAGTCTTCGATTTAGTGTTTGGTTGTTTTGTACTCATTGAAAGACATAATTTCATATTTTCTCATTTGCATGCTAACGTATAATTTCTGGAATCTGTCATCCAATTTAACTGATTACTCCGCATGGAATTTACAAATTCATCGAAAATATTACTATCTTTACCAATATTCATTACTTGATTTACAAAAAAACTCAGCGAAAATATTTTCAACGTTAGGAATGACTAAATAACAATTTCCACCAGTCATCATACAAGCGTACGTTTATGATCTGATATCTAGATAGAAATGGACCTACTGCTATAAACCTAAACTGCTACAATTCATTTATATACATACTTTTTGTTTACTGGACTGTGACGACTAGTTGAGGCTATTTTTATTCTGAATCTTTTGATAATATGAGAAAATCGGCATATATAAATCTGAGAGATACGTGTGATCACATGGATTCACGAGGTATCTATTATTATGAATACATTTGGAAGGTATTGCCTCAGAAGGAAGCCAATAAAGAAAACATAATTCTTGACAATTTCATCTACTAGGATGTAAGCTTAGATGTATATTTAAAATTCATAGTACTTTATTGAAAAATGTGATGAAGTTACGAGGTCAACTGAATTGCTAATAAGAGATGCTGGCGAGACTCTAATTTAGCGACGAGCCAATCAGAAGCGTTTGAGCAATCTCAAGGTTACGGAGCCAAGTTCAACACGCGATGCTAACATACGGTCGGTTCACAGCGGATTTTAGAGAGGAGGTGATTAATGAGAGGTTAAAACAGATGGAACGGCGAAACTCTAATTTAGGGACGAGCCAGTGAGAAGCGTTTGAGCAATTTCAATTATTAGCCAATCAGAAGACAGTATAAAGTAAAAATATATTATAAGAAAGTAATGAATTACAGTGGATATTCTTCTTTTACATGAGTTAAAAACTGGTTGAGGTTTGATAAACGCTCAGAAGTTCTGAATTCATAATGCATATTGTATAGAAACTCGTCCATAGGGTTAGGGGTTAAGGTTAGGGTTAGATTAGGGTTTAGGGCTAAGGTTAGGGTTTTGGGGTTAGATTAGGGTTTGGGGTTAGGTTAAGGTTAGGGTTTAGGGTTAGATTAGGGTTTAGGGTTAGGTTAAGGTTTATGGTTAGGGTTAGATTAGGGTTTAGGGCTAAGGTTAGTGTTTAGGGTTAGATTAGGGTTTAGGGTTAGGGTTAGATTAGGGTTCAGGGTTAAGGTTAGGGTTAGGTTAAGGTTAGGTTAAGGTTAGGGTTAGATTAGGGTTTAGGGCTAAGGTTAGTGTTTAGGGTTAGATTAGGGTTAGGTTAAGGTTAGATTAGGGTTTAGGGTTAGGTTAAGGTTAGGGTTTATGGTTAGGGTTAGATTAGGGTTTAGGGTTAAGGTTAGGTTAAGGTTTGGGTTAGGGTTAGATTAGGGTGCTAACATGCGATCGGTTTACATCGGATTTTAGAGATGAGATGTCTATTGACAGGCTACAACCCTAACCACTAACGCTATGGACGAGTTTCTCTACAATATGCATTATGAATTGAGAGGCTCTGAACCTTCATCAAACCTTAGCAAGTTTTTAAATCATGTAAAAGAAGAATATCCACTGTAATTCGTTACTTACTTACAATATATTCTCACTTTGTACTAGCTGTCTTCTGATTGGCTAATAATTGTCAAGGTCATTTAAGATTCGTTCAAAGGTCGTCGCTAAATTAGAGTCTCGCCGAGATGCTAATTCTTTATACATGTGTAGAATCCGAACTGAGGTTTGAACTGAAGAACAACTGTCCAAGTCGTTTAGATACGCGCTATTGTCCAGTTGAGACCAAAACAAGATGATTGGGTAAATGACAGTTCACCCAGTTATTCAACCTATAGTTGTTCAATTAGTGATCAAATCAAGCGCAACAAATGAATGTTATTCTATCCCTTCTGGATAGATCACGTACAGATTCGTTCAAAAAATAATATTTGGTTGCTTTATAACACAGAGTGTTTCAATTCA